TGGTTATGTTCCGATGTGATGTCATCCCATTTGGCGCCACTCAGTCTAACGCAGCAGGGTGTATTTAGGCCCCTAACAGTGCAGATAGGCACATAGTGTGATTTACATAGGCACTTGGGGGAATTGGGTGCCTGGGTGCTTTTGAAGATCCCACTAGGCACCTACCTCGATCGTGAGGCTCCTAAATACCTTTAACACCTAACCCTTGGTCTATCTCAGGGGTAGGCAACCTATGACACGCGTGCTAAAGGCGGCACGCAAGCTGATTTTCAGTGGCACTCACACTGCTCGGGTCCTGGCCACCGGTCCTGAGAGCTCTGCATTTTAATTTAATTTTAAATGAAGCTTCTTAAACATTTTTAAAACCTTATTTACTTTACATACAACAATAGTTTAGTTCTATATTATAGACTTATAGAAAGAGACCTTGTAAAAATGTATGACTGGCACGCGAAACCTTAAATTAGAGTGAATAAATGAAGACTCGGCACAGCACTTCTGAAAGATTGCCGACCCCTGGTCTATCTAGTAGGTACATTTTTGGCCATCACTATAGTATCTGAGCATCTCACAATCATGAATGGGTTTATCCCCATTTTACAGATGGGGAACTGAGGCACAGGGGAAATAAAGGGTAATAATTTTCAAAAGTACCTAAGTGACTTAGGAGCCTTCAGGTCAGACTTTTAAAGGTATGTATTTGGCTGAAGGTGTGGATAAGTGCCTAGTGGCTGCCTGGGCACTTTTGAAAATTCCACTGTCGGCATCTTTCAGCACCTAAATGCATTTAAAAATCTGGCCCTGCGTCACTTTTTCAAAAGGAACCTCAGTGCAGTGAAAGTCAATGGATGTGGACCCCCCAGTTCACGTTAAAAGTGGGATTCAGGTCTCCAAAGTCAGTGGCGTGCTTTTCAGTGTGTGGCAGAGCTAAGAATTGGTCCCAGATTGCACAAGCGCACTGTTCTACCCACTAGGAAATCCTTCCTGCCTCTAGATCTCAGTTACATTTCAGACATACTCAGATCCGGGTCCAGCTTTTGGGGCTGTAACAGCATGGGAAAGCAGGTGAGTTGCGGTTGGGCTTAGGGGTTGCACAGCTCCGGCTGGGAGCTGAAACCTTTGTGCTCCCTGGTCAGCAGACACCAAGGGGGAACTGTATTTATCAAGACTGGAGCAGGTTGAAGACATCCCCTTTTCTGACTAGCTGTAACTGAGACATCTTAGGTCAACATGCTGCAGCTGGGAAGAACCCCATTTGCCTATTGCAGATTGTGGGGGGGCAGGGAACTGATCATTTTCAGATCTCATTCTTTCCCTGGTATAAGGCTATTTGTACCAGGGCTCCTTCCTATATCAAACCCCCATGAATCTCCTTTCCCTCCCTTTGGAAAGACAGGAAGCAATTTTGGACCAAGGGAGAGGGGACTGGTAATGGGGTATGTACCCTTTCCCTTTTAGGATGGGGTGTAAATCTCACCCAGGTCGATTATGACCAGAAGCCTCACAACTGTTCAGTGGCCTGTGTGGAGTGAGTATGGTGGGGCTAGTCCAATTCCATACCAGAAAAACCACTTAGTAGAGAAGCTGAGTGACTGGACCTTGGAGATTCAGTTCTCCTCTTTGCACTTTGATGGGGTTCCTCTAGTGTCTATGATATTGACAGGGAAGTAGTATAGGAAGGAAGCTCACCTTGCTACCGCTCATGCTGTACGATCAGTTGCCAGGGCTGTTTATTTTGCATATCTCACCCCTCTGAAATTCATCCAGGGCAAAATGCGGCCCCCTCTGTGACAGCAGATGCTGTTCCACAGGAAGATTTGGGGCTCATGGGCAGGGCCCAAGCATCATGCAGTCCTGCTCTGTGCCCTTCTTCACTGCGGGGCTTTGGAGAGGGGGGTGGAGCTGGTAGATGCGCTGATCCAGCAGCAAAGCCAGGGAGGCAGAGGCGCAGCTGCCACTCTGTGGGCTGGGCTGGGGGTGCAGCTGCTGGGTACCTGCAGGCTTGGTGCTGCAATGGGAGAGGGAATGGTTAGCCCTAGACAAAGTGAAAAGAAGAGGAATTTCTAGCTGAGCCGGAGCTTGGCAGAAAGGCTGCGAGCCAGCTGGTGAGATCATGTGCCCTTGGAGCGCTAAACGTGACCAGTGACTGGTCTTTCCAGGAACTTCAGGGTGCAGGCAGAGCTGATCATCTGCAAGTTTTCAATACCAGCACAGCAGTGGCAATGCAAGATTCTACCCGCCACCCCAAACGTACCACGCTTGCCAGTGTGCCTCAACTCTGTCTGAAGGGGATCATCTCTATGACCGAGAGGGGCACATTCAATTCTCTCTCCACTGAGGCTGACAATAAGGGATCCAGTGACAACAGCTGGTTTTGTGTTGCTGAGACCTGCTGAACTCGTTTCTCGCAAGGAACCCAATAGCCTCCAGATGTTAACAACACTGGGTCACTACCAAAACGATTTGAACAGATGGGTTAGAGGTGAAAAGCTCCATCTACCATCCCCCTTGAGCTTGCCAGTCCCCCGGCTTCGTTATTTCAAACAGACCAGTGCCTGACATGATTTGTCCCCAAAGTTGAGATGCTTTAAAAAGGAGTTTTTAATAGAATCTCTGTCCTACAGGAATGCCCCCAGGAAGAATTTTTCTTTCAACTTACAAAGGACACATCTGTTTTTCAACTAGTAATTATCCCTTATTTCCACCTATAAGAAGGATGGTCTTGTGGCTGAGGTGCTAGGCGAGGACCCGGGACATCTGGTTTCCTGCCTCCATCACACACTCCTGGTGTGCCCTTATGCAAATCATTTACTCTCTGTGCCTTGGTTTCCCATCAGTAAAAAGGGATAATAATTGTTCCTTTGTCTATTTACATTGTAAGCACTTCAGGGCAGGGATTGTCTCTCACCATGTCCCAGCACAATAAATCCCAATCTTGGGAGGGGCCAGAGATGTTACCATAACAGGTAATCTCGAAGGCCTAGCAGGCCTACTGTATCTGTGAGCCAAGCCAATGGAAAGTGGATAAAGGTTCATGAATTGTTACAATGACCTGTTACATAAAACTGTTTTAAGAAAAGATTTAAGGAGACAGAAAGACTGAAATAATTTCAGCAGAGGGGGCTTACTGATGTTACCCAAGGACTGCATTAAGATTATGACTGGTGAACAAGAGGAGCAGTGGACCAGAAATTAATGAGCCAAAACTGGTGCTTTAGAATTTAGGCCTAATTGGTGGGCGAAATAAGAAGAGAATGAGCCGTTCCACCCATCACGCTTTTTGGGGCACTAAAAAGAGGCTTGGGAGGAAAGGGAACTGCTACCACCATTGTGGCTGCAGTATAGGGATTTTTACCTTGGTACTCCATTGGGGACGCTTGGCCACCATCGCTGCTCCAGTGGGGAACCCAGGCTTACACGAGTGAGATCCCGCTCTGTCTTCCCCTCCTTCGTGTGTCTTTTTGTCCCCCACTATATTCCTTCTGTCCTCTCTCTCTCTCTCTCTCTGCTTTTTACCTGATCTTGAAGTCAACTGTACCACACTGCAGACTGACATAAGGCAGTCTATTCCGTCCTGCAAGGCCTGAGATGGACTGGGAGAGGGACCTGACCAGATCAGTGAGATGATCGGAGGTGAGGCGGGGTTGAGAGCATCCTAAAGCATCCATTCCTGACTGACCTGCCACCCTGTACCCTAAAAACATGGACAAAAGCTGTATTTTCCCCATGTTGCCCTCCTCTCCCTTCTGTGTTGAGGCTATCATTCCCAACTCAGAACTGAACACCAGAACTAATCCTTTTCCCCCCACCAAGGACTGTTTGACAGAATAAAAGACTTTAACCAGTATTCGCCCTCTTTAAAAAGCGGTTTTGATTAAATTTGTTTTGCATAATCACTCAATCTCAGTTCCAACGCCTTTTGCCGCCTTTTGATTCTTTTCCTTTTGTGTGTTTCAATCAATACATTTCTAACCTTTGGCGTGAATTTCCTAGCATGTTTGCCATGGTACTAAGCAGGCTCTGTATACCAAACCCCAGAGGTTATTTAACACTGTTTTATGTGGGACAGTGACAGACAGGGTCAAGTTAACAGCTTTAACTCTTCGGGCCCATATATTCCATCTAAATTAATATAACAAGACTCACCACTGGCTCGCCCCCTCGTCGCTGGATATGGCATAGCAGCTCTTTCCTCGGTAGCGCTCCCTGCCAGTGATCACTCCAGTCCTGCAGTGGGTTGTCTTTTGCTGCAGTTCAGCTCTTCGGACAGGCCATGTTTTTAATTCCACCCCTTCCAGGGTAACAAAGTCCATTGTCCTCACATGTGGTCCTCAGTCCAAACTCTCAGCCCCGTGGCCTTACCACCCTTCGCTCAAGGGTTTAAATCATCCTTATCCCCTTTTGTCGGGGGGGCGGGGGAGGCTTCATGCCATCTTCCCACTGGCTGGTTGGGGAACCCAGGCCCCGCCATTTGCATTATCCCTTCCTCGCCTCTTCCCCCTGCTCTCTGCTTCATGCTTTCCATCATGCTGCCCCCTAGGCCGGGACACTTTTCTGCCAGGCACCTGATCCGTCCTTTAAACCCATCTCTTCAAGAAACCCACCTCTTTTTCACCGCTAATCTCCTCTCCCAAAGTTACATTCAGGAGCTGGACCTTCACCGTGCTGAGAGGGGCTGAGCCTCCCTCGTCTGCGATCAGGGTCCCGTTATTCTCCCATGGGAGTCAATGGGATGAGGCCTGTTAATGTCAATGGGAATGACGGGTCGCCCCTCTGGCGCATTAGGCAGGCTGAATCCTGCGTTGCCATGGGAGCCGTTTAATCCCCCTCAGGGCCCAGGCAGTGTGTAGGGAAGAGGACAGGGTTCTCAGGGTGACACGATGGGACACCTGGCCTGGGGGAGAAGGGGACCGGGGGCACAAGCCACTGTGGGGCAGAGGGCAGGTGATTTCCTGAGGCCTCTACATGCAGTGTTTATGTGGGGGGCGGG